GCGTGAGAAGCTACGCGCGTTTTTTGTCGACGTCAGACCACCATCGATGCAGTCTCTGCTGTGCTTAACGTGGATCGGTATCACTCTGGACATGTACAAACCCATAATTTTCAGGTCCTGAAACAGCAGGTTGCCATCAGGGTTTTGTCAGTTATCATAAATAAAGCGACCATTATATTTGATATCAGTGGTGATACTATAGCAGCGAGCCATCGTGTCCGTTCCGCGAATTATAGACCAGGATAAGCGCAGGATGTGGATGTCATCGGTGCTAATTTACTACGGTATTTTACCATTTGAATAAATATTTTACTATATTTTTTTGCTATTCCGGTGCCGAAGGAGACTTATTAACCGTGGCCAACTTCGAAATAGGATGCTCTGGCGAAAATGTCAATAAAAGGGAAATGCGGCGAACTTCCCGATTTATTCCTGTTAAAAACACTATGAGGCCAGAGATCGTGTAGCTGATTGTAAGGCACCGGTCAAGTGTTGTTCACTGGATTATTATTCTGGTAACATTTCAACTAAAATTTATATAATAGTGAGAGACAATGGCAAAATATAAATAAATTAATATACCTATTTCTAGTGATGTACACGCCATTGGAACTGACGCTGATTTTCAGCGGCTTGATTAGAAACAGTCTTCTTACTCAACGAGAGAAAGAGTAAAGTCATTCATAGGATACGTTATTGATAAACATTTTGGATTACGATTTAAATTCATTGTATAAACTAATTTCCTATGATGTTAGTCTGACGATGTGCGATACTTTTCTTGCTCGAAATCGGTTTGTTTACAAAGTCGACCTTCGACTCAGCTTTTCTCTTGATTTAGAAAGATTAATTATGGCAGTGGATCGTAACGCCTTTGGAAGATGATATTAATTTTTGTACTAACAACTAAAATGACATTAGTAATTTGTAGTGCGTTGAAATGAAAGTTGTACCTCGTCGAGAATCATTTGTTGAATAGTTTGAAAAGATACGCTGTATTAATAGACAGTAGTGGGATAATTGGGTAGTCATTAAACGAGAGTATTAGCTAACACTGTGCATCATATACGAATACTATAATATTCAGTACTAAGTAATTTAGTACTAAATATCTATCATATTCCTGTGTGCAATACAGTAGCATAATAGTACGTTATTATGGAGCATACGGTGCATTCTGCTCTGATGGCATAAAATAATTTCTTTATCGCTCTGCCATAATGCAATATAGTTCAATATAAAATGTACCGCAGTATTGAATATATCAATGTTGTTCTTACACGGGGTGAAAGTATTTTCTGCAGTATAATCTATACGAGTACTAGATTGAATGAGATATTGTGTTCGTGTGATGGTGGTTGTACTTAAACGACACCTAGGTATAATTTCGTACAACGTAAAACGGATAGTTTACAGAATGATAGACTAATATCTTAACTACATTAATATAGTGGATTTTAAAACTCTTGCACTTTCACACCAATCGTCTCTTCTGAGTCAGTTTATTAATTTGGCTTTTTCTCGATCCATGATTCGTATCTTTGCAACAGAGCCAGAAACATGTTTCTGTGGTATAATGGTTTCTTGTTAGACAACGCATTACTCCTTCAAGACAAGGTTTCACGGCTTATTGCACTGCCTGTTTGATTACATTCTTTACCTGTTACCTAAAGAGATCATGGTGCAAGAGATGGCTGATTTGTTTTCCTCATGTCTAGTTAAAGATCCTGTTTGAGAAAAATCAGACTTGACCTGAGCAAAAGGTTGAACGATGACAAGGGAATAAAACATCCGGAAATATGTGCGACTATATTGCGTAACGCATACCTCGTCGAAGACCAGATGTCATTGCTTACTGCACCACCTTGCCTGTAGCTGCTCAAGGTACTATTTAAACCGGCTAAGACTTGATGGTACTTAAAACCTGCAGTCAGATGCATCTCGCGTCATTTTGTTATCCGCGGCCGTCTCGCGCTCATCAGCGATATTTCAGCAGCTGATACTCCTTACAAGTTACCTTTACCGGTTAGGCATCAAACTGATCGTACATCAGGTTACACATCAATTCAACAAGTCCAGATTTCGCGGCGTATAGACCAGCTCCTAGGTAATACGCCGTAAAATCTGGTTAGGAAAGATAATTCATGGTCAATTAGAG